ATGTGTTCTTGTCTCCTACAGCTCAGTGAAGGCGTCTCTGCAGGACAAGGACTGGGGGTGGAGATCCTCGTTACTTTCCAGCTGGTCCTCTGCGTTGTGGCAGTCACAGACCGAAGGCGACATGACGTTTCTGGATCTGTTCCTCTTGCCATTGGACTCTCTGTTGCATTGGGGCATTTGATTGCGGTAAGAGAACATTTTTTTTCCCAAACAATTTTTTATGGCCCATGGCGCAGTTGCACATATAGGTGCCAATACATATGTTGGGCAAGAGGCAATTTTTGTTTTGCTTTGACCTTTACCACCTTGCAGTATAAACATTATGCAAATGGACAGCCACTCAAAATGACTGAATTCAAGGGTTTCCAGTGATGAGTGCTGTTAATATTAACGCATACAAAGACATTTCAGTCCGTTGTGTGCTTCAAACCCTGTTACAACAGTTTAGGGAAGGCCCTTTTCTATTCCAGAATGATTGTGTCTTCCCTGTGCACAACAGCTCCATAACTACATGGTTTGATCAGTTTGATGTTGAAGAACTTAAATGTCCTGCATAGAGCCCTGACCTCAACCTTACTGAACACCACTGAGGTGTATTGGAACAAAGCCAGCTCCATAAAGATATGGTTTGGGCAGTTTGGTGTTTAGATACTCAAGTGACTTGCATAGAGCCTTGACCTCAAACCTACTAGACACCCTTGAGATGAATTGGAACAAAGCCAGCTCCATAAAGACATGATTTGGTCAGTTTGGTGTTGAGGTACTCAGATGGCTTGCATACAGCACTGAACTCAACCCTACTGGACATCCTTGATAGAAATTGGAGCCACGCCAGCTCCATAAAGACATGGTGTGATCAGCTTGGTGTTGAGTAACTCAAGTGTCCTGCATAGAGCCATGACCTCCACCCTACTGAACATCCTTGAGTTGAATTGGAACAAATCCAGCTCCATAAAGATATGGTTTGATCAGTTTGGTGTTGAAGAACTCAAGTGTCCTGCATAGAGCCATGACCTCAACCCTACTGGACACCATTGAGATTAACTGGAACAAAGCCAGCTCTATCACTATCTGGTTTGATCAGTTTGGTGTTGAGGAACTCAAGTGCTTGCTTAGAGCCATGAGTTCAACTCTACTAAACACCATTGACATGAACTGGAACAAAGCCAGCTCCATAAAGACATAGTTTCAGCATTTTGGTGTGGAGGAACTCAAGTGGCCCAAACAGAACCCTGATCTCAATGGTACTGAACACCCTGAGATGAATTGGAGCAAAGCCAGGTCCATAAATACATGGTTTGATGAGTATGATTTGCCATATTGTGTAACTCCTACAACTGTCCAGAGCTGGCACGTAGAGAGATAGTATAAAGATCTGAGAGCTGCAAAATGCTGATGCAGAGCCCAGTCAAGCCTCCTTGTGCTTTGTCTTCTGATCTGTAATGGTCAATACCAGGGGCGGACTGACAACTCATGGGGCCCCCGGGCAATAGGAAATGATGGGGCCCCTGTGTCCTCACCCACACTCAAACCACACCCAAAAAAGCCTATGAAAGGTACCAGGGGCATCTCATGTGGCCCCTATTGACCCCGGGCCCTTGGGCAGTGCCCGAGTGGCTAAATTGTCAGTCCGCCCCTGGTCAATACATCATTTCCACATTGCTCAGCAGCTTCTCTGAGCTGCTCCGGCACCCAAAATTTAATTCTCAAAGCACTTCTACGCCCAAGGTCTATGCTATGTAATGCAGGGTAATGGAGGTTGAAACAGCTGCTGACCCAGTGCTCTATAGCACCGGAGGCCAAATGGCAGATGTGCCTGCTGTGATCCCATGCCACTGCTCCTCAGCAGGGGATTGGTGGGTGCACAGCTGGATTCGCATAACTACAGTACAAGTAGATGGACAGGATGTGATATAAAAAGAAAAATACACACAAAAATGCAAAACACAATTTTAGTAGAGGAGTAAAAAGTTACAATTGTGGACAATGTTATTGCTTTATGTCAGTAATGATCCTCTCCCTGTTTTGTGTCCTGGTGTCACAAGTAACCCCCTCCCCCCTTTTCCAATGGGGTCACAGATAGAAATAATAACAGGCAAGAAAGTTTTCCCCTGTCTATCCAAAACTAAAAATTTGGCTGCAGTTGGGCTTTAAGGAATGCTATGTAAAGTTTAGAAAGCCATCTCTATTGCCTGTTGCTGTCAATCATGTCACCTGACCCATGGTCTTTGGGCCGGTTCACACCTGACCGCTGTGGGGGAAAAGCACATCGTACAATTCCACGTACATGAAGCTTCATTATTCTGGACAAGCAAACACAAAGCTCTGCCTGGGCAGGACTTCATTTTTGCTTGTCTGGAAAAAAAAGTTTAAGTTTTGTTGGACTATTCAGTATGCCGCTGACTTCTTTACTTTGGACAGAAATAAAAAGCTGACAGGGCTTCTAGCCTTCCCCTACTCTGATGGAAACAAGCATTTTTATTTGTTTCTGTGTTGCTGTTGGAGATTTTCCCTTGTTTACGTATCTGGTGAAACCATTGTCAGCAGGACAGAACTTCGAGGGGTATCCTCTCTAAAGGAGTTGAACCAGACAAATCCTTCTCTACTCTAACCCAAACTAAAGGGAAAAAAATGGCTAGACATCCACTTTAAGGGGTCTAGTTATAAAACATTCCCAGCATGAATATTAGAAGCATTCCTGCAAGCCCAATGAAATGTCACTGTAATTTTTCTAAGAGATTAATACCTGTACCGTCAGCTCCATCTAGTAGCCAAAATGTAGTATTGTTTTCTGAAATACCTCAATGGGAAAACTTTACATATTGGATGCTGCTGATAATACAGGAAATTATTCTCTTAGAAAAATGATGGTGACATTTTACTCAGCTTCTTATTTAATCTCCAGATATGGAAAGGTTTCTTCACAGTGAGAGCTGTGAAAATGTGGAATAGACTCCCTCAAGAGTTGGTTGTGGCCAGCTCAGTGGATTGCTGTAGGAAAGTCCTGGATTCTTTCTTAGTTACACAGAATATAACTGGAAATAACATTTATAGGTAAAGTTGATCCAGGGAATATCCGATTGCCTCTCGGGGGATCAGAAAGGAATTTTTTTCCCTGCAGGAGCAAATTGGATCGTGCTTTGCTGGGGTTTTTTGCCTTCCTGTGGATCATCTGTGGGTGTAGGATTATAACTTTTTTTTTTATAGTTGAACTGGATGGACTTATGTCTTTTTTCAGCCAGACTAACTATGTAACTATATGGCATTCATACAATGAATGTAAATGACCCTAAGCGTTCATTTACACAAATACGTTGCATTAACGCATGGCAAAATGCATGTTCAGTTGCATGTCACCACAATGAATATCAGTGCATTGAATTCAAAGCAGTGTCATGTGGTGCCATCCAGCTTGGCACCCCAACACACCAAGTCAGTACACAACAAAGCACAAGTGTTGTAGGACACCATCATGCCCTCTATGAATTGTGGTTGATTGCCTTAAAAAAAAAAAAAAGGTGAAGGAATGAGATGCACTGTTAGGCCATGAAAAAGCAACAAACAGTTGTCCATGTTACCTGTAACCATTTCTTCTCCCAGATGTATATTCATGGGAAAGGGAAAGTCCTTCTTGCAGGGACAGGAGCTGCTGTTAGAAAACATAGGGCCTCATACAGCCAATCTGACAGCCCCCCTCCCCCCCTAACAAAAAACAGTTTACTAGGCTTCAGTTATGAATGAACACTGTGAGTGATCGGTATCAATCGTTCATTGTGTTCATTCAGGAATAGAAGGGGCTGGTAAATATGACATATTTACTGGACCCTTCCCACACTCTCTGTCCTGAAGGATCCTACTGTGTGCTTTCAGCTGCTGGTGATAAGAAGAGGAGGGAAGCCGGCAGCACTACAGGGGTGGGGTCACACAGTGGGGACCAGGAGGTAAACATATGGTGCACATGGAGGGTGATCGCAATTACTGGAATTGATCCCCTGTATGGCTCTCTCTCTGCAACAACTGAAAGCCAGTGGAAGGAAGAGGAGAAGAAGCCTGCTTTCAGTTGCTGCAGAAAGAGTCATACAGGGGATTGGTTCCATTATCTGCCTCTCTGCCATGCCAATCGCCCTCCCTGCCCACATCCAATTCACCCAGCTGCCTGAGCCCCACTGACGACCTGGGACCCATACAGGAGGACTGGTGGTACCCCCTTATACACAGCCCTGGCAGGGACCTTCTGATTTACGTCTAGATGTCAAATGGCACACATTGGAGCTAATCGGTATTGATCTTTCAATCTCTCTGATAGTCAGCCTTCTTGATATTGTTATTAGTGTGGCAACAAGGGAACAGGTGGGTACATCTTCAGGGTCATCATTCTTTGGTATATTGTTGATGAGTCCTCTAGTAGAACACACTGCTGGTCGAGGTGAGGGACTTGGATGCTCCTAGTTCCATACCAAGTTAAAATACAGGAAATATTGAAATGAAGTGCATTGCTGAGGGTTGCATGCCAAAGGAGGTAGTTGAACAATAGCAGGGGTCAAAGCCATGTGAACCATCCAAAATAGGATGACACAAGATGTATAAGATAGGGGTACCAGAGATTAACAGTTGTGTTAGTGGGTTGCAAAGATTCACTGTGAGGTCAACACCCAAGAATGCATGTTCTTCCCCACAGCTTCTGATGGTGGAGATGGTTGTGAGGATTGTACTTCCAGGCACAGGGGCGGACTGACAACTCATAGGGCCCCCGGGCAATAGGGGATCATAGGGCCCCTGTGTTCTTGCCCAGACTCAAAAAAGCCTATGAAAAAGGTAACAGGGGCATCTCATGGGGCCCCCTATTGACCCCGGGTCCTCGGGCAGTGCCCGAGTTTCCAAATGGTCAGTCCACCCCTGTCCAGGCAGTGGCTCTCACTTGTGACACAAAATAGGTGTACAGTAGAGCTAATAGGGCCTGATGTTTTAATCCCTGTGGTAAATTGGCACTTGTGATGTTGGGATTGGTGTGGTGAAAAGTGGAAAGGCAGGTATGTCATTGGGGTCATCAGGTGGTCACCCTCCTTCATCTACATTTTGTAATAATATTTTCTGTCTCCCAAACTCTGCAAAGCCAGGAAAGGAGTAGATTTCCAGAATGGGAGGGATATTCTTGGTTTACTTTTGAAGAACCTCAAGCAGATACATAAATACCACAAACCACACAATTATTCACAGCATGCATGGAAGTTGCATTTGCAGATGTGTTCATAAGTGTAGATAGAAAGAGCTGTGCTGCATTAATGTTTTGTATTTTGCTTTGCGCAGATCGACTATACTGGATGTGGAATGAACCCAGCCAGGTCTTTTGGCTCCGCAGTACTAACTAAAGACTTTACACATCATTGGGTAAGTTGACAGAAAATTCTGAAAGGTTTCCGAAGTGGGAAAATGTTTTAGTGGTTGAGTTATCCAGAGCTGCTACAAGCAACTCCATACGGTCTGCTAAGGCCAGGTGTATATTCCCTGCTTACCTAGGCCAACTGTCCTGGTTAATTAGTCAGTTGACCCCAGTCATCCGGGATACACTTGGTATCATACCAAGAAAATCAAACTTCTTTGCCGTACAAGCGGTTGGGGACAGAGAAGTGGCCCTCTTTTCATCAATACATCTAGAATTTATGAGTAGAAGGTTTTGGATGTCATCTTTCTGTGTTACCTGTTGAGGGAAAGTAAGAATGAGGACTTGACCTGGATTGCTCTGGCAAGCAGGGTGCCATTCCGGAACTTTTTATAACATATAGTTAGAAAAATCTGATGTTGACTATCCACAATGTGGTAGGTGGCTGTGTGAAGCATCTGACATCTCCTCTGACATAAACCTTACGATGAAGGATAATTTAAGAAGAAAAAATAAAATCTTCCATGATTTATGATGTTCTGCAGGTTAATGATCAAACTTTCTAAACAAAGGGCCAGGTTACTATCCTTCAGACTTTAGAGGGGAAAAATGTCCTGGCATCAGCAGGGGCGGACTGACCATTTGGAAACTCGGGCACTGCCCGAGGGCCTGGGGTCAGTAGGGGGCCCCATGAGATGCCCCTGGTACCTTTTTCATAGGCTTTTTTGAGTTTGGGCAAGGATACAGGGGCCCCATGATCCCCTATTGCCCGGGGGCCCCATGAGTTCTCAGTCCGCCCCTGGGCGTCAGTAACAATGCTTCATCATTTGTGCCCATGAGCGGAATAGTGCCCCAGTGTTGGTATCAGTGGGAGGAATAGTACCCCATTATTGTTTCAGTGGGAAGAATAGTGACCCACTGTTGGTGTCAGTGGCAGGAATTGTGCCCCATTATTGGTGTCAGTGGTAGAAAGTATTCCCCATTGTTAGTGTCAGTGGAGAAATAGTGCCCTGAGGGCTGGGTAAAGGCAAGCCATGGACCACAGTGTGGAGACCACTGTTATAGACATACAGTAGATCCTACCTAAAGAAGAACTTCATTAAAAAGGTGTGGACTACCTGCAACTCTTTGGGCAGTTAACATCTTGGTTGGCGATATGAAATGTACATCACAGCTTACAGAGTAAAATGGTTAAAACCATGTAATGTATAGCATAGTTTACAGAGATTAGCAGTCAGCACTATGTAACATATAGCATAGCTTAAAGCGGTGTTTTTCAATCAATTCACCTTTTAAAATTATGTTCAATCATTGTGAACAACAGGGTACTGTTAATACTACATCCTGCAAAGACATTTTAGACAATTGTGCTCTTCAGTCATTGTGGTAACAGTTTGGTGAAGACCCTTTTGTGCTCCAGAATGACTGTGCCCCTGTGTACAAAGCTAGCTCCATAAAGATATGGAAAGAATGAAGATGGAACCCCGCTATCCAAAGGAAGAGCCCAGGTGTAAAGAAGAGTGAAAGCAGCTTCAACTTGACTCCTCCAAGGCCATGTTCTCAACATGTTTCACCCTGCCCACAGGGCTTTGTATGACTAATCCCTGTGGGTATGGAGAATCACGTCAGGGGCGTGGCCTGGGAGGAGTCGGACTGAAGCTTTTACTCTTTATACCTGGGCCCTTCCTTTGGAGTGCAGCGATCCATCATCCTTCTTTCCATATGTGTACACAGCCAGGATGGGCTCTCTTAATGCAGGCATCTACAACCAATGTGAGTCGCTGGAGTATCACAGGATGACTGCTTAGAGTGGTGCCCGAAGTCTATGCAGTTCTCCATAAAGACATAGTTTGGTGTGGAAGAAATTGAGAGTTTTGAGCTCAACCCAGCTGAATGCCTCTGGGAAGAATGAAGATTGTGAGCCAGATCTTCTCATCCAACATTAGTACCTGACTTCACAAATGTTCTTTTGGGCTCACATTCCTACAGACACGCTCCAAAATCTTGTGGAAAGCCTTCCCAGAAGAGTATAGCTACAAAAAGGTAGTCAACTCCATATTATTGCCCATGGATTTGGAATGGGATGTCCAAAAGCTCAAATTAAAGCTGACAGTCTGCAGTTAAATCTCATCTTGTTCGTTTCATTTCAAATCCATTGTGGTGGTGTATAGAGCCAAAAATGTTAGAATTGTGTCGATGTCCCAATATTTATGGACCTGACTGTATAGGTGTGATGGCCAGGGGTGCACAAACTTTTGCTCTTATAGTGTAATCACCCATCCCAGCACACTATTTTTATGGGATCTCACTTTCATTGCTGCAGTCTTTAGTCATTTTACATTCCAAAGAGGAAAGTAGCAGACGTGAGAAGATGTGGAGCCAAAAATCTATAGAGCTACTGAATAGTCTAGGGGTCAAATAAACCCAAATGTGACATCTGAAATATCTGAAATATGTGAAAAAAAGTTTTCCAAACTCTCTAAACAAAGGGTCATTTTACTGTCCTTAAGACTTAGGGGGGGCTGGATTGGGGCCAATGTGTGTAGAAAATACCCTGGCATTATTGGGAGTAAATAATGCCCCATCATTGGTGCCAGTGGAAGAATAGTGCCCCATCATTGGTGTCAGTGGGAGGAATAGTGCTCCATCATTGGTGTCAGTGGGAGGAATAGTGCTCCATCATTGGTGTCAGTGGGAGGTATAGTGTCCCATCATTGGTGTCCATCATTGGTGTCAGTGGGAGGAATAGCGCCCCATCATTGGGAGGTATCAGTGGGAGGAATAGTGCCCCATCATTGGTGTCAGTGGGAGGAATAGTGCCCCATCATTGTGTCAGTGGGGAGGAATAGTGCCCCATCAGTGTCAGTGGGAGGAATAGTGCCCCATCATTGGTGTCAGTGGGGGAAATAGTGCCCCATCATAGTGTGCCCCATCATTGGTATCAGTGGGAGGAATTAGTGTCCACATCATTTGGTTGTCAGTGGGATATAGTGCCCCATCATTGGTGTCAGTGGGAGGAATAGTGCCCCATCATTGGTGTCAGTGGGAGGAATAGTGCCCCATCATTGGTGTCAGTGGGAGGAATAGTGCCCCATCATTGGTATCAGTGGGAGGAATAGTGCTCCATCATTGGTGTCAGTGGGAGGAATAGTGCTCCATCATTGGTGTCAGTGGGAGGAATAGTGCCCCATCATTGGTATCTGTAGGATGAATAGTGCCTTGTACTAGTGGGAGGCATAGGTCTCTATCATTGGTGTTAGTGAGAGGAATAGTGTCCCACCATTAGTGGGAGGAATAATGCCTGAGTACCCCAAGGGCCAGAAAAAGGCAAGCAAAGGGCCACATCAAGGAGCATATACTCACCCGATCCTCCGCTCCACCTGAAAACAGCACTTCCCCATGATCCAGCGGTGGACTGTTCCTGATGTTCTTACATCCAGAGCAGGTCTATGGGTGTGATGATATCAGGAACAGTCCACCGCACAAAGACCACTAGAACGTGGGGGTGGGGGCAGGAGACACAGGGACTAGTCTTGTGTGGGGAGAATTGGAGGATTAGATAAGTATATCTTCGTTCTCCAATCCCCTAGGCAAAAACTGAGCAGTTGCCCAGAGTTGGGCTTTAAACATTGAAATTGCCCAAAATTGGGCTTTAGAACTTGACATTGTATGCATATTCTTAAATAAAAAAATCATAACATGATCTTCCTTTCCCCTCGTTAGATCTTTTGGGTTGGCCCATTGATCGGTGGTGCCGCAGCCGCTTTTATATACGACTTCATCTTAGCACCAAGAACCAGCGATTTAACAGACCGCATGAAAGTGTGGACCAACGGGCAAGTGGAGGAGTACGAATTAGACGGTGATGACAACACCAGGGTTGAAATGAAACCAAAATAGAGATTGAAACATTAAAAACAACAAAAAAAAAAACTTATCGAGAGATGTCAGTATTATGGACTTATTTGTATAAAAAAAAAAAGAATTTCCAAATTTGTTTTGTTATTTGCATTTTTTTCAGTATGCTTTCATGCCTTTGCATTGTATTTCCTAACCTCATGTTCACATACAAAAAATGTACTGTAATATTTTTATATCTTTTTTTTTAGGCAGTTGCATGAAAAAAAAAAAAAGCATGACCACTAAGTATTTACAAAAACAATTCTAAAGCGTTTTTTTATTTAGAGAAACTTTATACTCCGCATTTAAATTAGCAAATACATTTTCTACTCAATAAATGCAACATAAGAGTTGGCGGTGGGAATACTTATGGTTAGCTTTGCCTTTTTTTCGGAGATTGTGGAAATGGATTTGAAGAGCATTTGGAAGCCTCTAATGCTTTGTCTGAGTACTTGCAGGATTTTTTTGTTTTTTTTATCTCAGTTTGTAAACCTCTGGTCTGAAGAGCTTCACAATGAGCAGGGATTGTACAAGCTTCTGCAGGCATTCACTGAATAACTAGTAACGGCAAAAGTCGGCCAAGTTATCTACCGCAGCTTGCTAATTCCCAGCTAAAGCCTGCTGATTACTTGTTAAACCTACACTCCTGATAAAGTGGGCCCTTGCTCAAATTTAAACCTTACAGAGTGTTAAGAATCTCCTGGATAAAGATTATTGAACAGAGTAAATTCTAAGCAAACCAAAATAAAAGGCCAAACAATTGCCTTGAGGGGTCAAAACGTCCTTTGGAAAGCAAAAAGGCATCCAACATGTTTTGGAGTTCCAAAAACTCCCCCTTCATCAAGGCCTGAAAGTAGTGTCATTTCAGGAATGGACTGAACCTGGACTCAAAAAGGGTTTGAAAGAATTATTGAACAGAGTAAATTCTAAGCAAACCAAAATAAAAGGCCAAACAATTGCCTTGAGGGGCCAAAAAGTCCTTTGGAAAGCAAAAAGGCATCCAACATGTTTTGGAGGTCCAAAAACTCCCCCTTCATCAGGGCCTGAAAGTAATGTCATTTCAGGAATGGACTGAACCTGGACTCAAAAAGGGTTTGAAAGAATTATTGAACAGAGTAAATTCTAAGCAAACCAAAATAAAAGGCCAAACAATTGCCTTGAGGGGTCAAAACGTCCTTTGGAAAGCAAAAAGGCATCCAACATGTTTTGGAGTTCCAAAAACTCCCCCTTCATCAAGGCCTGAAAGTAATGTCATTTCAGGAATGGACTGAACCTGGACTCAAAAAGGGTTTGAAAGAATTATTGAACAGAGTAAATTCTAAGCAAACCAAAATAAAAGGCCAAACAATTGCCTTGAGGGCCAAAAAGTCCTTTGGAAAGCAAAAAGGCATCCAACATGTTATGGAAGTCCAAAAGCTCCCCCTTCATCAGTGCCTGAAAGTAATGTCATTTCAGGAATGGACTGGACCTGGACTCAAAAAGGGTTTGAAAGAATTTATAGATATAACATCATATGTTTGTACCAGCTGGTTAATGTATCTTCTTGAAGAGACATTACCTTCAGGCTCTAATGAAGGAGAAGTGTTTGGAACCTTCAAAGGCGTTGTTTGCTTTTTGCTTTACTTTTGTCATTTTTGACAAGGCTGAAGGACTTTTTGGTCTCCTAGACTCTTTTTGGTTTACTTATATGTGGATTTCTTCATTGAGGTAGCCCCTTTGTTTTGGAAGAGAGGGGAATGGGGTTTAACCGCTTTGTGGAATGCTGCCGATCCCAAGCCATCAAGTTCAACCAATTATTCCTTTTTGATGGATCAGAGATTCATTGATTTGAGTCTAGTGCCTCACACGTCCAGCTCTCTGTGGACAAATCTACTTAGGTATCCAGGAGAAAATACTGCTCTTGGCTCTCTTAGGTGCCAGTCATATTTCTAAAGATCAAGGTGCTTAGTCAGGTGATATCTCTTCAATGGCAGTATCAGAGCTAGGACTAGTTAATTTTCCATTTCTTCAATACTTAATCACCCTTCCTGGAGAAAATGCTGTTGTGGACTACTTTTAATGGCTGGTGTTGAGCCAGGACCAGGGGCGTACTGACCATTTGGAAACTCGGGCACTGCCCGAGGGCCCGGGGTCAGTAGGGGGCCCCATGAGATGCCTCTGGTACCTTTTTCATAGGCTTTTTTGAGTTTGGGCAAGGACACGGGGGCCCCATGATTCCCTATTGGCCGGGGGCCCCATGAGTTGTCAGTCCGCCCCTGGCCAGGACTGATGGTGGCTTACAGCAGCAGTTTCTGCAGGAAGGGTAAAGTTGAAGTGATTTTAAAGGCTCAAGGCTTTTTTTCCTTCATGATTCGATGCATGAAGGTAAAAAACCTTCTGTGTGCAGCAGCCCCCCCAGCCCAATGTTATACTTACCTGAGACCCCTTCTGGATCTCGATGTGCACAAGAGCTTCAGCTCTCCAGGGACTTCCCCCATCCCCTCATTGGCTGAGGCCATTGACTTCCGCTGCTGTCAATCACATGTGGGAGGTGGGGCGGGATGGGGCTGAGCCACAGCTCCATGTGTAAATAGACACACAGGGCAGCAACTCGGGAGTGAGCCTGTTCCCACTTGGCAAATGGGAGGGGCCAGGGAGCACCGCTGGGTGACCCACATAGCAGGTAAGTATGACATGTTTGTTGATTCTTTTTTTTTTTTTTTTAATTCCTTTGATATCACTTTCAGTTCACAGTGCTGAGACTCCAAAGTTGTTCGACTTCCTTGTGACTTTTGTGATTTAACATTGCAGTCTATGGCACTCAAGTTGCACCAAAATTGCAGAAAAGTATTGCAGGAACCTTTTTTTTTTGCGTGACTTCAGTAGCATTGATTAAGATGGCACACATTGAAATGAATGTGTTTTGACTTTATATGCAGGGGCGGACTGACCATTCGAGCCCTCGGGCACTGCCCGAGGTCCCGGGGTCAGTAGGGGGCCCCATGAAATGCCCCTGGTACCTTTTATAGGCTTTTTTGGGTGTGCTTTGAGCGTGGGCAAGAACACAGGGGCCCCATGATCCCCTATTGCCCGGGGGCCCCATGAGTGGTCAGTCCGCCTCTGTATTTGTGTCCCAAGTCGCAGCACAGTGAACCCTGGCTCAGTATTTCAGTGATTTTATTAGATTTAAATGATCCACCACTAGAAAGAAAATTAACATTTAAAGTATATGTCCATGTTAGGCTGAATTCACACTTGAGCGTTTTGTAGCTTGAAGCTCCAAAAAAGCTCAAACTTAAAAAAAAAATCACTTGTTCTCAATGATGCCTGTTCACACCTGATCGCACAAACAGGCACCCTAGAGAACAATAGATTTTTTCAGTTTGAGTGTTTTTTGGAGCTTCAAGCTATAAAAGGCTCTAGTGTGAATGCAGCTTAGAAATCTCCCCAGAACCTATTGATATTTTCTTTTCAAATTTCAATTATGTTTCCATCATTACGTCAGTTATGTTATATTGCAGTTCATTTCCTTTGTATCATAAGAATTTAACAAAATATGTAAAGAAAAAAAAAAATTGTGCCATTTTGAGATGGATATTGAAAGTCGACGACACACCGAGGAGGTTATAACAATGTTAAAAAAAGCAAGAAGCTTCAAGGCATCAGGCTGGTGTTGGATACAAGGCATGGAGTGTCTTCTAATTGGTGGACACAAGGGAACAAATGTACGTTTTTGGAATAAAATATATATATGGATGAAATAGACACAAAAAATTTTTCAGAAGTGTCTTTATATGTCCAATTTATACAGATTTGATTTGAGTTAATCGGTCGTACAGGAGAGGTTATATAAGCTATAGATGTTGTTTTAATTGATAGGCAATATTAATTAAAAAATAAATCAGCTGAATGTTGACCTGAATAACATAAGAGCGTCATTTAATTAGTCGTTCATCTTCTTCTTACCTAGATTAATCCTTGGATTGTCTGTCCCTTTGTATATACAGTATATAGCAGATTTTGTAGTCACCTTACTCAGTGTCACCCTTTGAGCACCAGGCTTGCAGTGCCTACCCACATGGAAGAAAAATATATTTTAAATGTATTGCAAAAATATTCTTCCCAAATATATTGACATATATTTGAAATACTACAATTTTGTCCGTCTTCAATATATATATCTATATATAGATATATATATTTTTTTTAAATATAATTTAAAAATATTCTCCCCAAATATATTTGAAATAATACAATTTTGGCTGTATTCAATATATATATATATATATATATTATATATATTGAATATGGCCAAAATTGTAGTATTTCAGATATTTGTGAATATATTTGGGAAGAATATTTTTAAATTATATTTAAAAAAAGTATTATATATATATATATATATATATATATGTATATATATATATATATATATTGAATACGGCCAAAATTGTAGTATTTCAAATATATGTCAATATATTTGGGAAGACTATTTTTAAATTATATATAATAAAAAAAAAATAAAATATATATATATATATATATATTTTTTTAAATATATTGAATACGGCCAAAATTGTAGTATTTCAAATATATGTCAATATATTTGTGAAGAATATTTTTAAATTATATTAAAAAAAAAAAAAAAAAAAAATAAGTATTATATTTATTATATATATATATATATATATATATATATATATATATTGAATACGGCCAAAATTGTAGTATTTCAAATATATGTCAATATATTTGGAAGACTATTTTTAAATTATATTTATAAAAAAAAAAAAGTATATATATATATATATATATATATATATATATATTTGAAATATATTGAATACGGCCAAAATTGTAGTATTTCAAATATATGTCAATATATTTGGGAAGAATATTTTTAAATTATATTTATTAAAAAAAAAAAAATATATATATATATATATATATATATATATATATATATATATATTGAATACGCCAAAAATTGTAGTATTTCAAATATAAATATATTTTGAATA